CTGGCTCCCTGGTGGAGACCATTAACAATGTGCGATAGACTCATTTCCACGTGGTGCACCCTGGGCAACGTATGGTCACACGGCAAAAAAGTCTATAAACTGGCAGTTGACTTCTGACTTCAAACTACCATCACCACACTGTATGTCATATTCGGCTACCTTCACAGTACTCACCTCACCTTTTTTCTACCTTTGTGTATGTCTCTATTGCATCTTTGAAATACTCTTCTGTTCCCACCCCCTCTCAACTTTTTGTCACTTCGAAGTTCCTTCCCCTCTGTGAAGCCTGAAGTCAACTAAAGGGCTAATGGTAACAGTCAAAACGCCTGCCATTTGATATAAATAAATAAACAGTAATCATGCTTTCTCCGGGAGTTCCTTCTCACTTCCCCGATCACAATGACATCGTCCAGATATGTATCTAAACCCTTTAGACAACGAACAATATTTCCATTATGTATATAATAGAAGATGAAAGACTGATTTGACTTTAAACTGAAGTCTGAAAAATCGATTTCTTATTCGGTATATTTTGGCAAACAGAAATTCACGATATTCGTGATTACACTATAGGTACATATTTAGTAACCGGAATAGGATGTTTTTTGCATACAAGAGCTTTATTTAGGCCTGTGTAAAATTTAGTTGTCAGTACGCAATGTTTGGATGAAATGTCCTGCCTGTTATAGTTACAGAGGCCTCGCAAAGTGATCCATTAATTTCAATAAACTTTTCTGCTGATGTTGTTGTAGCATAATGAGTCTATAGCACAATTTGTCATGAAATTGATGTTCATCTTGGTAACGTATTTAATGAACCTCAAAGTTAGAATTTCTATTTCAGGAAGAATGCCATAACATATTGAATACTCAGGCCAAAAAGCTTGTGGTTTTCGTTTTCACTGCTGAATGGTGTCCGCATTCTATCCAACTTAAAACTTACCTTGAAACGCTCGCAAAAGAAGACCAACATGTCGTTATAACACTCATTGATATTGACGATGATGAGGTCAGAATGCTTTACTATGATTATGCAAACGCCTGTTCTTATATTTATTTCAGAAGCAATTATGGTTTCCATGTTTTAATTAGGACCTGGTTCCCTTCTACAGCCTCTACGCCGTTCCATCATACTACTTCTTCAGGAATCAAGAAGAGATTGGAATACAGGTGGGAGGCGACTTTGCGGCTCTGCGCACTTGTATCCGCAAGTACAAGCGTGTTAAAGAAACTGATGAGACTGTCCTATAGCATTATTATCTTGTCATCAATCGCTTCAAAATACAGAATTGAAGGGAACCGCTTTTTAAGACCTGTAGTAGCCTGTATCAACATTAATTTCATCGTAACCCATAACAGGGATGTTTACTGGGTTAAATCTGGAGACGATCTTCGGGCGTCTTGTTAACAAATAAGAAGAAGAATTAGATTTGACGGTTGGTATCGATTTTTTTTGACAAATTCTTCACTATCTACCCGAAATAAAGAGAAAAAATTCAAAAGTTTATTAGTATGTAATTAAACGACTATTATTCAACCATTTCCTTTAGGAACCCTACTTGATCACCTTTAGTGCTCAAGGGTACATCTCTTGTACACTTGATAGTCGATTACTGAATTTCTAAGACCACAAGTGGGACAATACGCTATAAGGAAATCTATGCTCTTGATTGAAAACCCGTTCCTTGGGACAAGAGTGTTTATTATTCTTGAGGCCTGAGTATTTTTCGTTTGTTAACGAGTACTGGAAAGAATTTGACAACAATTTCAAATATATATTTGGGCAAAAAAATTGAATTTGAATTGAACAACAATGTGAGATTATTTTAATCTGGCGATCATTTGCTTGACCTGTTCAATGTGTGGTCCAATGACAGAGTCCACCATTTCCCCGTTTTTGAATGCCATAAATGTTGGCATAGCTGCAATGGAAAAGTCTGCCGGAGCGTCCTAAAAAGAATGCCAAAAAACACCATCACAATATCCGCGATAATGGTAGAAATTTTTAATCCATCAGCATTTAACCCATCATAGGTAAGGGGCAGACACTTACAATAATGATTGTACTGTAGGTTAATAAGGAATAAGGTACTACAAAATATATGAATAGGACCGAAAAGATTTAAATGCACCAAGGTGAGAGGAAGCTACCATCTTTCCCACATTGTCATTATCAACGTTCTCACCATGAGACATAAGGGTGAGCACACATTCAGTAAAATAGTGGGCTTTTGGTCTATACTCTGTGTAGTGACGTGCGTGCAGATTAGAGCAGACAACTTTCCATTCTTCAATAGCACTTCAATAGCACCACTTAGTGATTCCCAATGCGCACAGTAGATGAGAATTGAAGGATTTTCAGGTATCAATTATTAAATGAAATTACCAACGCCTTGACGTAACTGACAAACCCATACATCAATATCATCGTAATTCAAAATCGATATTGAATCAATTTCGCAAATGAATGCGCATTCATGCTTTACTGCTCTTAAAATTCGTTGCGACACGCTCAGTTAGAGTCAGTTAAGTTATTTCTAATTTTATTTTTCCTTTTTTGGCAATAAATTAATTAAAGTGTGTGCAATAGCGTGCAAAGCTTTCCATTTTATTTCTCAAAGAGGAAAGGTGGAAAATTTGTGCACATCTGTCACAATATGTCATTGATGAAGGTTAGAATATATATTTGGGTCTTTTTATAAGTCGAAAATAGTAGGTAATATTTATACCACTTTAGCATGTAAAAATGCTATCTTATCTGATATATTGGTAATCCAAAATACTTAATTAGAGACGAATAATTAAAGGTTCACACGATCAGGTATTTGTGAATTGGGTAGTTTTGAAGCATTAAATCTATGTGTTAACATCAGGAAGACACCAACTACGTCAAAATAAGAATTAATGTAAAAATGCCACTCAAGTTTGTTTTTTTAATATCAGATTCATATGAAGCAATGCCTTACCTTTGTCTTTAACAAAATGCTGTCATGGCTGAAAAGATAAATCTCATGCGCACTTAGGGAAGCTCGAGGGCATAGCTGTGCTACCTGTCGCGTAGGGAGCAATGGAGGTCGTGAGCGCAGAGAACTCTCAGTCAGCTACCATTCAATAACCCCTGCACTATTTAGCAAACCCTTCGTGGAGAGGTTAATGGCTAGGCTCCGTGACATATGCACAGTCAAAATAAACGCATTCCCCGCTATGGACCCGTTTCCTCCACAGCATTGTGATAGTTTAGCTAATCCTGGTAGTCCTTCTAAACTAAGTGAACTTGCCATGTCGATTACTGAGCACAAGTTTAGCAATCTGCTATATCTTGAAATTGCGCAATCAACCAATTTGTCAGTAGACACTTGGCGTCGTGAATTAATTCAGCTATCGTGGGAATAAATAGAGAATATTGAATTTTGGAAATTGTGCGAGTAAACTCCACATCAAGTAAACATAATGTTACCTGATTCCAAGATCAAGTAATCTTCAACTTCTTTGTGATTCTGGTTTTATCTACAACTTATATCTGTTCAATTTCAGTTGATTTTAAACTATGACAAGTACCAAAATTATTGTTCTGTTGTGACTTATTCTATAATTTATAATCTCAATACTAACCGCACTCGCGTTTCACATTGATCTAATAACAGCAAATTGTTTAGTTCTCACCATGACAATTAGGTTGCAAATGGAAAGATGGAATATCTGGCATATAACGAGTTACATCTACTGATTTTATTTGTAAACCAACACTGTATATTAGGTTTTCTAATTAAGACCATTTTCAGAATGTTACCAAGCGCCATGACACAAGCAGTTTTACACACGCACATTGAAATAAGGTGGAAGATATTTCAGAGCGTATGAAAGAAACCGCTTGGTAAATAAGGTTTAACTGACAACCTAAGAATTATGAATGAATTAGCTGAGGTTGAGTAACTTCACTAAGGACTGTTAAGACTGTAAAAATTGCTCCAATATGTTTGCCAATTGGAGCCAATCATTAAGCAGGTTAGAAATTCTTGATGCATTGTGTGCTTGTCAATATGGACCTGGTACTGTCAGATAAAGGAGTAAGGAAAATAACCAATAAGCTTCCAAGGGTATAAGAGAGGATGCAGCTATAAATTTGCAATCCCCACTTCCATCTAAAGCAGTATGAGATGAATTTAAAATTTTAACTTCGTATTGGCCCATTGTATGTCTAAGTCCGTTTGTGTGCTTGTAAGTAACGTCCTACTAGATGATGAAGTCGTAAGTTTGACCTTCTATTTCACATGATTACAATCCTATTACACTTCAGAGGTGTGTGATAGACTTATCTTCACATGGTGCACCTTGGGCAACACATACTCATGTGGCAAAGAGTCTATTAACCGACATTTAACCTCTGACTTTAAACTGTCATGACCCCACTGTATGCCATTTTCCACTACTTCCACAATACTCACCTCAACTTCTCCTCTACCTTTGTGTCTGTCAGTCTCATTTATATCTGTGAAGCACTCTTTCGTTCCCCCCCTCCAAACTCTTTATGGCTTTGATGTTCCTCCTCCTCTCTGTGAAGTCCAAAGTCAACCAAAAGACAAATGATAACTGCCATAAAGGCTGTCATTTAATATAAATTGTCACTCCAACTGCACTGTAACTTGCACCTTACCCACCCAATCACGTGATCAAAATGAATACTAAGTTCACCTAAATGGGAAAGACTGTTATTTCCTCTTAGCCTGTAGAATAATTATGGATTAACTGAGAGGTGATCAACAAGTTTATTCAACCGATCTTCTAGAGTGGCTTAATTGGTTTGATGATTGCCACTTTAGAGCCACTTTACCAATGTGCCACACATTGCTCACCTCATAAATATCAATGTCGAGCTTCGCAAACTTGACTGTCGCCTCCTGTTCGGCTAGAATTTCATAGGCGCGTTTCACTGATTTACATGGACCGCACCAAGGGGCGAAGAAGTCCACAATCACCAACTGTTCGTGACTCATTTCCTTCAGTTTTTCCATTTCTTCCTATAAAAATTAGAAATGAAACCGAAATTAATTGAGTAATACTTTGTTGTGAAATTATGCTCAATTAAATCCCATATGTGAAACAATATTCCACTCAACTCAGTTAATAATAAATAGAAAAAATATTTGCCGAATGCCAAAGTGTAACGATCCGGTTTAAATGGGAGAACATCTGAGCGAGAAAAAGTGCAAACAGATAGGTACAAAACTTTCATGCAGTGAACAACTCTGTCGAGGCCGACCACGGCAGCATCTAATATTCTGGAAAATTCGGTCGCGTTTTCGTATTCGCATTCAGAAGCTTTATCAGGTACCCAACGAGTAATATTCTCTCTCACTATTCTCTATTCGTTTAGTGATCATGTCAACAGTGGGGCATAATTTTACAATAAACGCTCATTTGAGAAAAAAAAATAATTTTCGCTTGAGAGTTATGCTATTGGTTTGTTGTGTTTGACTACAGTTATTCGAATAACTAAGAGGATTATCAAGGCTTAGGCAAGTGTTTGTTCGCGCATATCCGCCACAAATCTTAATGAAAAGCCGATTTGGTTTAATGTTCCATCTTTGCGCCTCAAGATTTTCGAGCCGTATTTAATGAAGTGGAACTCATGTAATAACTTTCGCTTAAAGAAAAAATTATCAACACTCTAAAGGAATATAACTAGCATAACGAAATTACCGCCTTTTGGGTTATTAAACGCAACTAGGGCTAAGCACCAATGTAGTGAATATTGATTACTGCTATCAGTAAGCGCTGCTACACCTTTCAGACTCTCTGAGTGCTAATGTGATTTCTTTACTCAGCCTTGGTAGCGTTGAGCACTCAACACGATGACACTGCAGCAATACTCACCACACTTTGTCTAATGACTCATCACTACTAAAATGAATATGAACTTTAAATAAAATTGAAGAAAAACAGAACATATTCTATTTCTCTGCTCCACAAAATAATTGGTTTATAAGTAATGCGTTTCAGACGATACGTCAGAAGATTGGAATAGGGATAATTAGATTGTAAAAATCACTTACCTCACTATTGACTTCAAGAATCAGTGGCGGATCTTCAGCAGTTGCACTCTTCGCATCGGTGTTTTCGTCAGCCATGTTTGTGTAAAATGAAGTCTTCCCTTGCAAATTGGTTTAGATTTAATGCTCTCCTTCAGTCTTAGTTTGTTAACGCCCATTTTCGGTAAAATGTGAACAGACAAGTATATGACCATAATTGCTTTTAAAAGCAAAGTATTTGTAAATCAAACCAATGAATTCAATTCCCTAAGGGTGGGAGTTAATTCTAAGCATCCATTAAGATGAAGAGGCGTTTTAGAAGAGAAGTAAGCTATACGCCCAAAGTATCTTAAGCTGTTAAGCCCAGGTACTTAAAGCGGTAATTAACTTAAACCCGAATATTTTTTTAAATTGTCTGATTGGCAGCGCTTGTGAGAGAAGATCTGGTTGAAAATGCATTAAATATATTTGTCGCTTCAGATCGAACGGTTATCAGGGTTTGTAATTCAGTGTACTATTACATTTTGAATAGTGCTTTAATTTGAATGGAACACATTTTTATTTCCTCAACTAATGATTAGGTCAAAAATTCCTCTGACAGTCCCATCTAAATGGCTGTAAGCTACAAGCCCGCATCAAACTAGAAGTATCAACCAGTGGAATAAAGTGACTGATAAAATTATTGGATATTGTGGACCAGAGGTTCTTATTAATAATATAGGGTCGTGTGTGGAGGGCACTATACCACTATGGCTTATGCAAGAAATCACATACGCACTAGAACCTTCTGGAACGGGTGGCGTGCTTCCTATCCTGTAGTCCCCACGTGCGGTCATACTGATGATCGCGTTTAGGAGTAAGTTCGCTGTGAGAAACGATGCGTCTCCGACAATCATCACTAGTCATTTCCTGTTCGGTGGATCCAAAAAGTGACAACTTTATGAATAAGCTCTACGATAAACACTGCTCACATTATATGCTCTGTTTCCTCGATATGTTTGAGGTAGCTTTGCTAATTTCGGGTGACATTCCATGCCAGAGGGTTTTTACCAAAGAAGCTATTGAGGTTAAGTCATTCGGAATTATTGACTTTATTCTCAAAAACGTGTCGATTTCCTCTCCTTACGCGCTTATTATTCCTTCTGACACACTTTTTACCCTATCTTGAGCAGCAATATTATCCTATGTATAATTATAATGCTATTTGATGATGAAATTTTAATTTCTGAATAAAACCCTTCAGTTACGTGTTTAAATATGCCATAAGGATTTGAGTGTAGAATTACCAATGACCCGCCCAGTCCAGATTCCTCCCCGCCGACATACTGAAAGGAGGTAAGATTCTACCTAGTTGATATTTATAACTGATCAATGCTCAAACGCCTTGACAAAGTGAATGAGAATCAAACTCACCGACAGAGGTAATATTAGGAGAAGACAACTACAATTCACATTCAAACTTATTACCTCTAAGACTCGTTTGATACATCAACGCCAAGTGTCACGTACCTACTGACTCATACGTTGTCAATGCACACAAAACACAAAAGATTAAACCGAAATATAATCCAGTTGGTCCCCGACCAGTAGTGCCGCCTCCTTTTTCCTAGTTAAAGCTTATTCCCCTCCTTTCCCACTACAGTTATTTCAAATCTACACATAAAATTTTTAACATCAAATGGCGGGATATAAGAGAGTTATCATTAGCCCTTTAGTTGACTTCGGTCTTCACAGAGGGGAGGAACATCAAAGTCACGAAAAGTTGAGAGGAGGGTTGTAAGAGCTATTCACAGAAGTAAAAGAGGCAGACATAAAAGTAGAGAAAAGGCAAGGTGAGTAATGCGGGAGTGGCAGAATATGACATATAGTGGAGCCGTGGTAGTTTAAAGTCAGAAGTTAACTACTGGTTTGTGGACTTTTTTTGCCAAATGAGCATATGTTGCCTAGGCTGCACCACGTGGAAGTAATTCTAACGAGTACCCCTCTTCCAAAATACATGTAGGAACACACAAGCGTAGATCCTCTCGTAGAACCCAGATAAAATTAGCTCCTGGGTTTATTACCCGACTACCTTATTATTGCCTTATAATAGCCATTCTTATTTGTTATATTCAAAGCCAAATTGTGTTTTTGAAGTAATTAAGACATCTTGGAAACTTGATAAATCTGTATTGCCAAACGAATGATTGCTTCCCCCACAGAAATAAAAACCACATATTAATGCCAACACATGCATGTGCATATTTCCGTTGTCTTTGCTGGTGGATATTCGGAACTTGTGGACCGAAGGGTTGGACTTGTAGCGGGTTGCTACACCAATTAGCCTAAACTATACTCAATAAACTCAATTGCGGATTCTTCTATGTTTGGAAAGACGATGGGCACTGGTTTAGCTACCGCGAAAGCCATAGAGATAACCTAAGTATCACTTGGAACACGTTAATTTGGGATGGGATGTGTGGTGAGTGTAGGGACAAGGAGTATAATCATTTTACTGATGCGACCGGTTTGATAAACCAAGCGATGACTATCGATTGGTGATTGGCTACGTGTTCTTCGCACTCACTACCCCACATGCTCCCTACTCGAAGTTGCAAGACCTCACCATCAAGCCCATCCCTATGTGTGCACGAGATTACTTTGTTCGGTGGTGACGGCGTTGTATGCTTCAAGACCTACAAAAGGCATACAAATTGACTTAAACATTCGCAGTTCCCTGTTCGCCTATTTATTTACGTAGTTTGGAATTGCGTTCT